TGTTCTGCAAGATGTGCAAGTTTCTTTTGGATACGACCAAGTTTATATTGTTGATCCAGTTGCTCGAAGCGGGGGTTTAGCCCATTTTTATATGGACGATCCATTAGTTACTATCTTTTATGCAGACAAACATATGATTTATATTGAAACTCGTTTTGAGGGACATGAGATTTTATGACTTTTGTGTACGGTGACCCTGTTGTTAGACATCGGGACCAGGTTTCGGAACGATTGTCACGCATAAGTACAACACATAGTAAAGCTTGGTTTATGGTTGGAGATTTTAATGAAATCACGGGAAATCATGAGAATAGGGGAGGAAGACGTCGTTTAGAGAGCTATTTTCTCCCTTTCCGAGCCATGTTAGAAAATTGTGGAATGCTTGACTTCCCATACAAAGGGAACTCATTCTCGTGGGTGGGAAAAAGACGATCCGGAAAAGTTAATTGCAACTTGATAGAGCAGTGGCAAATGAATAATGGCACGCTTTATTTACCCATTCAGTTGAAGAATTCCTACAATTATGGGGATCAGACCACAGACCGGTCCTAGCACGGATTCAATCCAGAGTTAGAAGAACAAGAAAGAATTTCAGATTCGACAAGAGATGGATCGGTAAACCAGGGTTCAAGGAAGCGGTGATCTCGGGCTGGGGACAATTTGATGAAATTTCAGTGAGGAATTTTCATCAAAAAGTTACCTCATGTCGAAATAGAATTAGTTCCTGAAAGAAGCAAAATCCAACAAATTCCGCTATACTGATTAAAGAATTGAAAGAGAAGATAGACTTGGCACAAGATGATGATAATTCTACGACAGAAGAGTTGGAGGATTTACGAAGACAGTTGATAATGGCTTTTAAAGAAGAAAATACTTTTTGGGAACAAAAAAGTAGGAACCAGTGGCATAAATATGGAGACATGAACACAAAATTCCACCATGCCACCACAAAACAACGAAGAGCCCATAATCGAATCATCAATATTAAAGATAAGCATGGAAAGTTGGTTGAGAGTGAAATCGAGGTAGAGAACGTGGCTGTTCAATATTTTCGTGATCTCTTCTCTACTTCTTTGCCAGCAGAGATAGATAGTTCCCTCCATTTTTTTTCATAAAAGGTGTCCCAAGCCGACAATAGGTTACTCTTAGAGAAACCGTCGCAACATGAAATTAGGAAAGCTCTTTTCGAGATTCACCCGGACAAAGCACTAGGACCGGATGGCATGACTAGTATATTATTTTTGAGATTCTGGCAGGAGATGCACCAAGACATTATCAGATTTGTACAAGATTTCTTCGAGACATGCTTTTTTGACCCTCTGTTGAACCAGACAAATATCTGTCTCATCCCTAAGAAGAAGAAACCCCGGGACATGACCGAGTTCTGACCTATTAGTCTTTGCAATGTTAGCTATAAGATTATATCTAAGCTATTATGCAAGAGACTAAAGAGGTTTATACCACGCTTGATCTCAGAGACACAATCAGCTTTTGTGGAAAAACGTTTGATTACCGATAATATTCTGATAGCACAAGAGAATTTTCATGCATTACGGACGAATAACAGATGTAGGGAAGATTTTATAGCTATTAAAACATACATTAGCAAAGCCTACGATAGAGTGGAATGGAGTTTCTTAGTAGCTTTGATGCTGAAGAATGGATTTGATGAAAGACTGGTTGACCTCATTATGTGTTGTGTCACGTCGGTCTCATATCAAGTCCTTGTCAATGGGCACCCGAGAGGGCAAATTTTACCAAAGAGGGGGCTGAGGCAGGGATATCCCCTCTCCCCCTTTTTGTTCATTTTGTGCACGGAAGCTTTGATATCACTCCTTAATGGAGCAGAAATGGAGAAGAAGATTGTGGGTCTTCGCGTTGCCCAGGCAAGCCCGAGGATCTCCCATCTCCTCTTTGCTGATGATAGCCTTTTCTTTTGCGAGGCAAAAGTGAGCCAGTGCAAGGAGATTATGGATATTATAGACATCTATGGAAAAAGCATCAGGACAAAAACTAAATGCGGCGAAATCTTCTATGTTCATTGGAAACAAAGTGGACTACGCCAGGAAACAAGAGATAAAAGAAGTTTTGGGTTTCTCTACTGAAGGAGGCATGGGAATGTACCTTGGATTACCTGAACAAATTTGTGGCTCGGAAACCAAAGTATTCTCCAACGAAAAGATCGGCTTAATGGGCGAGTAAATATTTGGTCATCGAGATTACTCTCGAAAGGAGGAAAAGAAGTTTAGATTAAAGTGGTGGTTAAGCAATTCCGACATACCCAATGTCGTGTTACTTGATTCCACAAGGCATTACTGATAAACTAAGGAGTACGACTTCTAATTTTTGGTGGAGTTCGAAACATAACAGCAGAGGTTTACATTGGATAGCATGGGACGAGATCTGTTTCCCCAAGGATTTGGGGGGACTAGGTTTTCGAGATCTCCATGACTCCAATTTAGCACTTCTTGCAAAACAATTATGGCGTTTGATCCAGTATCCGAGTTCTTTACTGGCACGTACCCTAAAAGGAAGATATTACAACAATAATTCTCCCTTGGAAGATCGACGAATATACTCACCCTCATATGGTTGGCGCAGTATCATGGCAGCAAGACCTTTACTCATGTCGGGTTACGGAGAACAATTTGAACGGGCCGCGATACAAGGGTTTGGAGCGAGCCTTGGATTCCTGACTCAGTGGCCCCGCCACCTAAACCTACCGATCACATTGTCTACAGACTTCCCCAACTCCATGTTCAGGCCTTTATTAGGAATGATACCAAGGAGTGGGATATTCAGCTTCTACGGGAATTCTTTCAGCCAGATGATATTCCGTTGATACTTGGGATTAAACCCTCCCGCTCTTCTGCTCTGGATGGATATGTTTGGAATCACACAAAGACAAGAGTCTATTCAGTTAAAACTGGATATAATCTACTCCAATTGAGCAAGACGAGCCCTACACATGAAAGGGTTCTCGAACCAAGTGTCAAAGGCCTCCAGGGTCATGTATGGAAGTTAAAAGCTCCAAGCAAGATGAAGCATTTTTTGTGGCAAGCTATTTCGGGCTATGTGGCGACAGCAGAGAGGCTAAATTATAGACACCTGGACACCGATAGGAGTTGTCCTAGATGTGCTGGTCCAGTGGAGTCGATTAACCATCTCCTTTTTGAGTGCCCCCTGCCATGCAGGTTTAGGATTTATCGGACTATATGTCCATTCCGGGTGACTTCCCGAGTATATCTATTTACCAAAACATGAAGTTTCTGTTTTGGAAGCAAAAAGAAGTGGCTTCTAGGAGACCACAATTTGACACTGTTTCGTGGATCTGTTGGTATATTTGGAAGGCAAGGAACGACAAACTTTTTAATGGGAAAGACGTATCTCCAGTGGACACTCTTCAACATGCGTCTCTTGAGATAGAATGTTGGAGGAAGGCAAACGAGAAAGAGGAAGTAAATGAGGATCATGAGGTACCTCTTAGTTTAGAGTCCCCTAGGATCCCCCAAACCCCTACATGCCAAATTGATGCATCATGGATCGATAATGGTAGTGTCAGTGGCTTAGGGTGGAGTCTCAAGGATCAAATGGGTTCTGAATGGTTCGGATTACGGGCGTGTAGAAGGAGCCTATCAGCTCTGCATGCCGGGATGGAAGGCCTACTGTGGGCAGTCTCATGTATGAGAGATTTGAGGATGATTTTGATACGGATTGAGACGGATTGCTCGGATGGACATGTCTACTAGACCGGAGGACTGGCCGGCTTTCGCGACAGCGATCGAGGTATTTCAGCGATTACGGGAAGACTTCGAGGATGTGAGTCTGTCTCATATTCCGCGGAGTAGAAATGGACGAGCGGATGCACAAGCTAAAGAAGCAATGAGTATAGGCTATTTATTTTCCCATATAGACCAGACCCGGCCAGACGGAGTTTCTCCTCGGAGAATCGACTCGACTGGTCACCACTTAATCTAGAGTAAATAGGCGGCTGACAAAAAAAAAAAAAAGACAACACTTTGTGGTGCTCATGTCTAATAATAAGCTTGCTCCTAAGTTCTATGGCCCTTATAAGATCATAGATCATTGTGGTCAAGTTGCTTACGAGCTTCAGTTACCTGCTTCCTCATCAGTTCATCCAGCTTTTCACGTTTCACAGTTGAAGATATTGGTGGGTAATGTCGTGACATCAACTCAGTTACCTATTGTGTTGTCGGATGTACTGACCAAAGCACCTGAGAAGATCTTGGAATGGAAGATGGTTAAGAGGCAGGGTAAAGCAGTGACATAAGTGTTGGTAAAATGGATGAATGAAGATGAGAGTGAAGCGACATGGGAGTTTCTTTATGACTTGCAGAAGAGATTTCCTTTCTTTGAACCTTGTGGTCAAGGTTCTCTCAACAGGGAGGATTTGCGATAGGAAATGAGGGAGGACACGTGCCGGCTTAAGAGGAAGTCATTGAAGAATTTAAAAAAGACGGACATGTGTCAATCGAAGAGATGGCAGTTGCAGAAGTTGTTACGCGGGAAAAAACAGAGTTTTAAAAGAAAGAAGAATATTCATTTTGTAGTTTTCTATTGAGAAAATTGTGTAAGCTTTCTTTGTATCTTCTCTCTGGATTTGAGTGATTCATCTTGTCTTGCTTTTGAGCTATTTCTACTTGTATGTTTTTGGCGGGTGAGATCGATTCTTTGTAAATCACATTAGATCGGTTTGTTACAGAGTTTATATTGATCTTGAGTTTTACTGTATCAGTGTGGAACATAGTATGCTACCTTCACGAGATGATTGATCAACTTAGATCGGTTTGTAAATCACATTAGATCAGTTTGTTACATTATTTAATACTAGTGGCCAAATTCTTTATCTTAGTCAAAGTCAATAGATGATAATGAATTTTATGCGTCATGATCATTTTATGGACCAATCACAAAGGTCTAGGATAAAATCTGAGGACTGTAAGCGGCACTATTATTAGACAGGTCCAACTGATATTTACATATTCAAATTTTGAAAACTCTTCGTTTTTTTCACAATATTATTCAATGGCGGCCAAGAAGAAGCCAGGGGTGATCGCTTTGTTCGACGTCGACGATACTCTTACAGCTCCAAGGAAGGAAGCTACTCAAGAAATGCTCCATTTTATCGGAGAATTACGCAAGGTAATTAAGTGGTGTGATTGATCCATCTTTTACTACGTCAAGATGGCTGTGTTTAGTTTTGGATGAAAATGTATATAATGGTTTCAGGTAGTCACTATTGGACTCGTCGGTGGATCTGATCTAAACAAGATATCTGAGCAACTTGGCAAAACAGGTACGCCTTTGAACATTTTTGTTGTTGACTATAGAAACTTTCTCTCGATATAATTGCTGATCATTAGCTTTGTTGGTTTCATGTTCTGTAACCCACAAGTCTTAGTCTTTTATCTCACTTTCTTCATAGGGAATTTAAGATATGCCTCTACCTGATAAGCTTCCTCCACCTGTTAATAACGTTTTTTTGTGTTGTTCCAGTCACTAACGACTTTGATTATTGTTTCACTGAGAATGGTCTTGTTGCCCACAAAGAGGGTAAATCCATTGGAATCCAGGTGCATAAGAAAACAACGGCTTATACTTTATCAGCATTTTTGCTTGGTCGGTTCTTTTGTTCCTAAATAGTTTGTATGTTTTTCTCAGAGCATGAAGTTGTTCCTTGGAGAAGATAAGCTCAAGGTAAGGTTCCTCATGTGTAGTAGTTGATAGTAGGCGTTGCTTAAAACTTTTCTTTAGTGGTTAAACTTGGTGGTGAAGCTTATGCAAGTACATGTTGTTACCTTTGATGATGCAGGAGTTGATCAATTTCACTTTGCACTACATTGCAGACTTAGATATTCCAATCAAAAGGTTCATTACATATGAAGAACATCAACCTCTAGTTCTAGTCATTAATGATTGTCTCTTCTTGAATTTTTTTTGTATTCACAGGGGAACATTTTTAGAGTTCCGAAATGGAATGATCAATGTGTCACCCATTGGTCGCAACTGCAGCCAGGAAGAAAGAGATGAGTTCCAGAGATATGATAAGGTAAATAAGAAAGTATATAGTTTTTCATATTCTTATAGAAATCACTTCTTTTTTTTATAAGTGATATCATCAAACGTTTTGTTTTAAAAAGGTGCAAAACAGTCGATCAAAGATGGTGGCTGAACTTCGTGAGCGGTTTGCTCATCTTAACCTTACTTTCTCTATTGGAGGACAGATTAGCTTCGATGTGAGTGTAGTAATCAAAACTTGGATTATAACAATTTTCGTATATCCAAGTTTTGTGGTTCTAAGTCTAGTTCCATTGGTATGACTCTCAGGTCTTCCCTAAAGGTTGGGACAAGACTTATTGCTTGCAATACCTTGAGGACTTCAATGAAATCCATTTCTTCGGTGACAAAACCTATGAGGTATAGTAATTCTTGCATGATTTTCCATTGATCTTGATGTGTAAAAACATGGGTTTTACTTCTTCAGGGTGGAAACGATTATGAAATCTATGAATCACCAAAAACAATAGGCCACACAGGTCAGTTAGTTGGTTAATCTCTGTATGTGTTGTGTTGTTGACAGTTTCATGACCAGTAAGAGTGTTTCTTTTGCGTTGCAGTAACGTGTCCAGATGACACAATGGCACAATGCAAGGCTTTGTTCATGTCTTGAAATACTATCCATCTCAAGAACACAGTGTCAGAGTTTGATATATTATTGGAACATTATTACAAATACTTGCATTACAAGAAACAGAGAAGAATATTTACTGATACCATATGTTTTGAACAATGCTAAATTAAAGAAAGTATCCTCTTTCAATTTAATATAAAATAAAATAATTGGATGATAAATGTTTCTTTACAACAGATTCTGTGCAAAAAAAGCTTTTTAAATTTACAAGAATTTACAAAAAGAAATAGCAACAAATTTCATAAGAATATTCATTTTTAAACAAAAAAAAACATATATAAACTTCAAACTTGAGAATTGATGAGATTGTTACTCCACCGGATTCAAGACTCAACCACAGGCTCAGGCTCTTCTTCTGTAGCAGCTTCAGGGACTGCTTCTTCTCCTCCTGCTTCTCCTTCAGGAATCGCAGCGTTATCTTCAGGTTTGTGATCATCAGAAGGGGGAGTAGAGGCACCAGAAGAAGCTGTTCGGCGGTGGTTAGCAGCGGCTTGATGGACGTGATTGTAACTTCCTTTCTCAAGAAAGAGCTGGTTGAAATGGACTTTACAGTAGAGCACACCGTTGAGAGAAGCGTAGGAAGAATGAGTCAAAGGACAACCACTATGTGCACACTTGAAGCAAGTCTTGTGGTAACATTCTCCTTCCATGTTTACTTTCTCAAGTGGATAAACTGTTTTGTGACAAGTCGCACACTTGTCTTGTGTTCCACTGAAGAATGAAGATAACTTGCTCGGAGCTCGAGTCTTGCAGATTCAATAGAGAAAATAAGAAACATGCAAATAAAATTATTAAAAATGTTTTATTACCATATGATCATTAGACTTCTCTGTCTTTCCTGTCTGGAAATTCTTGCTGAAATTTCCAGATTCTTTGAAAAGCTGTTCGAAGTGAGTCTTGCAGTAAAGAACTCCATCCATTGACGAGTAATTACTCATCTGTTACAAAAGTAGTCCATCTTTATAAAAAGCATTGTCAAAATGTTCAAGAAATCGCTAGAAGATGATTAGCCGCTTTATAGAAGATTATTATTTAAGCGGGCGTTTATACCGATTTTTAAAACACTGGTGGAAACAAAATAGCAAGGGAGGAAGAATAAGAAGAAGAAGAAGAATATACCTGGAGAGTGCCATTGCAATGACTGCATCTGAAACATGATTTGTGATAAGTGTTACCCTCTAACGTCAACAAATCCATGACGTAGACGGTTTTGTCACACGCCTTGCATTTATCCAACGTTCCTGTAAACGACATTTTTTTCTATCTTCTTCTTCTTTCTTGAAAGTTTGTTCTAAGATTTATGAGTAAACATTCTTGATTTATGAGTTGTGTCTATGTCTTATTTATGAAAGATTCTTGATATAGGCTTTGTGTGTTTTAATTTGGCTCCATTGGTGGAGATTCGAAATGAAACATGTATCAATCATCTATGTCTAATTCTAGTATTGTTCATTTGGTCTGTGAGTAAATGAAGGGTTCCCACGTTTTGAGAGCTCTATTTTTAAATTAGAGGAGAGTAATGACTAATAGTAACATAATGGGTTGATGTATAATTATTGAAAAGTTAAGGGGCTAAATTTAAAAAGAAATGATGTGGATAAGAGTGGAGTGAAGAACTGTGTGTTAAAAAAAAAAAAAGAAAAAAAAATCCAAAACGACGCCCTAACAAACGACGCCGGCGATCTATTTCACTTTCCCGAGAAAATTATCATCCAATCTGATACACGGAATCGCTTCTTCCTTTCAAGATTCATCTCTTACGAGCGCTCTGTTTGATCTGTGAAGATTTGTTTGGTAGATTAGGGTTCCTTTTGTCCTGTGTAGTTTCGAGATCGAAGAAGATAGATTGTGATGAATGATAACAATAACAACAGAGGAAGATTCCCACCGGGTATTGGAGCTCCGGATCCTAATTACCAGTCACGGAATCCGAATCCGCCTCAACAGTACCTTCACTCTCGGACTCCGTTTCCCCAACAGTATGTACACTCTCGGACTCCCTTACCTGATGCTCAGCAGCAGTACGTTCAGAGAGGCTACCCTCCTCAGCAGATCCAACAACAGCAGCAGCAGCAGCAGCAACAGTGGTCTGCACGCGCTCAGCTTCCTGCTAATCCCAGCTATGTAGATGAAGTCGAGAAGACTGTTCAATCTGAAGCTAACAACGACTCCAAGTAAGTGCTCCTTGTTGAAATAAATCATTGAAAGATTAGTTTTTTCCTTTAAAAATGATTTTGGATTAAGATTTAAGAGTATGAATGAATGACTGTTTCCTCTTGATGTGGTCAAGTAGTGGCTTGTGCTTGTTAAAGTTGTTTGCTTTATACTGTTTGCTTTGAACTTTGAAGTAAAAGTTCGTTTCTTTCATTGTTTGTTTGCTTATCAGTAACCAGGACTGGAAGGCAACGTTAAAACTTCCACCTCGAGATAACCGTTACCAGACCGAGGTATATGCTTGAACCTTGATTTTTTAGAAGATTGCAGCTTCCTTAGAGCATTGTTTTTTCATGTTGTCATGTCTGCAGGATGTGACTGCCACTAAAGGAAATGAATTTGAGGATTACTTTTTGAAGAGAGATCTGCTAAGAGGGATATATGAAAAGGGTTTTGAGAAGCCTTCTCCTATCCAGGAAGAAAGCATTCCTATTGCTTTGACTGGTAGTGATATTCTCGCTAGAGCCAAAAACGGGACTGGAAAGACTGGTGCCTTCTGCATACCTACCCTTGAGAAGATAGACCCTCAGAACAATGTCATTCAAGGTTTGTTTTGTGAATTGTTTGATTACTGGATCTTCCTCGCTGTATTATCAGTGATGGCTGTATTTTCTTTTATTTTGTACACCTTGTTGATTTAGTTTCTTATGCAGCTGTAATTCTAGTCCCAACCCGAGAGCTGGCCCTTCAGACGTCACAAGTTTGCAAGGAGCTTTCAAAATACTTGAAAATTGAGGTTATGGTCACCACTGGAGGTACCAGCCTGAGGGATGATATCATGCGTTTATATCAACCTGTCCATTTGCTGGTTGGAACTCCTGGAAGGATTTTAGATCTTACCAAAAAGGGTGTGTGCGTTTTGAAAGATTGTGCTATGCTTGTAATGGATGAGGTGAGTTCCTGATAGGATAGATATTTGGTGGACTGACTTTCTTTTCGCATAAGTTGGTTGTTGTGACTCACAAATATCTTTTTCCAGGCCGACAAGCTTCTGTCTGCAGAATTTCAACCTTCTATAGAGGAGTTGATACAGTTCTTGCCGCAAAACCGTCAGATTCTGATGTTTTCAGCTACATTTCCTGTCACTGTGAAGTACTTCAAGGATCGATATCTCAGGAAGCCTTACATTATCAATCTCATGGACCAGCTCACACTTATGGGTGTCACACAGTATTATGCTTTTGTTGAAGAGAGACAGAAGGTGCACTGCCTTAACACGCTTTTCTCTAAGGTTTGATTTCTAGATAGCCCTAAACTTCTTCTAGCTACTCATGGTCATGGATGTGTGTTTATAAGTATAATTTTTACAAATGCAGCTGCAAATAAACCAATCCATTATCTTCTGCAATTCTGTCAACCGTGTGGAGCTGCTAGCCAAGAAAATCACAGAACTTGGTTACTCATGCTTTTATATCCATGCAAAGATGGCTCAAGACCACCGTAACAGGGTTTTCCATGATTTCCGCAATGGTGCATGCAGAAACCTTGTTTGCACTGGTGCGTTTTGTGTTGCTCACGTAATGTCGTTTAAATTTCATGTTTAGGAAGAGTGATGATAAGAGTAAACAATGGGAATGTCTGTTGCAGATTTGTTTACACGTGGAATTGACATTCAAGCTGTGAATGTGGTCATTAATTTTGATTTCCCGAGGACTTCTGAGTCGTATCTACACAGGGTATGTTAAGGGAAACCTGTTATTGATCTATCATCTCGAGCACACATTCTTTTCCTTCAAATTGTTAATGAGGGTTTGTTTTGTTACACTGCCAGGTAGGTAGATCAGGAAGGTATGGACACCTTGGGTTGGCTGTGAATCTGGTAACATATGAGGACCGCTTCAAAATGTTCGTGCTTCTTCCTCTGCTTTTGTTTTGGTTGTTTTAATCCTTTTTAACTCATTGATATGGTTATCAACAGGTACCAAACTGAGCAAGAACTTGGAACCGAAATCAAGCCAATTCCGTCACTTATCGACAAGGCAATCTACTGTCAGTAACTTCATCTAGCCGGTGAGACCAATCCCTCTCTTGGCATCTTGACATTGTAGTTAAAGCCGCAGTACACATATACCAGATTCCAAATGATTGGGGTTGCCATTGTTTAGGTGTTTAGAGGAGGCAAATCATTCAGCTTTGGCAGTTACGAGCTCGTTCCAGAGATGAAGGCAACACACTCAGAGCACTGTACTGGGGCAAGAAGAAGGCATTATGGATAATAGCGGTTGGTTTATATCTGAACCTTTCAACCAGAGGACCGGTGGTTTGGTTCACTTTGAAGAATTCTTCTGCATGATGTGAATCTTTCAAGTGACCTTCTCTTTTTTTTTTTTTGGTCAGTTCAAGTGACCTCGCAACTTTCGTTTTCATATTTTAAGAACCCGTTTACCCTTTTGAGTGGGATTTGGGTGTTTGATGACTCTTCTTGGTCTTTTCTGATTTAAGACTTGAATTCTAGTTTCCTAGTAGTAAGATCAAAACCGAAGACGATTTTTCTACACTTTCTATTGCTCCTAGTTTCACCTGTGTCTGGGTCTTTGTATGATGAGTCTACCTAGAATTGTGTGAGCCAATCCGAGCATCAACATGTTAGAATTTACAGATTAGATGTGAAACTGTAATCATACATGCTTTGACCTTGATCTTCTTTTACACACAAAATCACCAATATATAAACAAAAAAACAAGTCACACAAAAAGAGAGATGAACAATCACAAGCAATGACCTAAGAAACAACTTAGAAACATCCACAAGTTGCCTTGGGTACAACACCGGTGGCTCTGTACTTGGCAGCCATTTCTTCAGCTTTAAGAAGCTCCTCTCCTCTTTTAGCTTCAACCATTGCTCTTTTTTCTTCGGCTTGTTTGTGAATCGCAGCCACTTTGTTCTTCATTTTCTCACCGTACTCTGCCTTCTTCTTCTCCAATTTTTCTTCAATCTTCCTGAGTTGGGCTTCAATGGCTGCTTTCTGGCTGTTCTCCCAAGCAAGCACATCAGATACCTTCTTTTGTGCCCTGTCCATTTTCATCATTACTTGATGATTATCTGGCAAAAATGGTAATGTTTTTTGGGTAAGAAGATCAAAAGCATTTAAGGAAAGTTTACTTGTTCTCTGCTTTTGACTTCTCACTCTCTTCCCATGCTTTGATGAATGAAGTTTTCTTTTCTTTTTCCAAGTCTGCAAGTTTCACATCTGACCAAGATACATATCACATTTTAGTATCAACTAAGTAACAAAAAAAAAGTAGTCCACAAAAAAGTAGTCCACATAAACAAAAACAATGGCTCACCTCTATCGACTGAACCAGATGAACTTTTCTTTGGTGTAGGCTCCTCAATGGGTTCTGCAAGAAACTCATTTATTAGTATTACACATTGACACATTGTTAATGTAATGATCCAACACACCCACTTTTAATACAATCCGTAAAGAACATAAGTATGGCAAAATAGGATTATAATGATATTCTTCTCTAATCCTCTTATTAGCAAAAGAAAAACATGTTTTACTAATACGAATGTGTTTTACTTAGTAAATCTTCTCAATCATATATATTACCATGCCTCGCCATGCGTATGAGCGACACTAAAAAAGATAGCTACATCTACATACAAAACATACAACCATTTCCTCTTAACTAGTTATTACTTAGTGAAGAGAATAAACCTTTAGTGTTACAAATAGACCGAAGAGTTACATCAATGTTAAAAAGTAAGATTAACATTGAGATTTCACTTTGTTTTTTCTTCGTTTTGTAGTCAAAAGATAAAAAGTATCGTTCTTTTAATCAGTTGTGATCATAAAAAAATTCTTCAACCCTTAGCTATTTTATGTCATCCCCTATAAGACTCTTGGTATTCTGCAAAATGTTGTCCCCTTAACTATAAACCCTTAGTTTTAAAGTATCTGAATATTTTTGACATTCTTTGTGCACTAAAAACACTTGGAATGTCTAGGGTAATATAACATATGGTGATAGGTCGAATTTTGTTGATATTTCTTAAATTGTTGAGCTTCACTGTGTATTTTGTTATTGTCTTAGCTTACATTTTTATAGATTTTCAAGGATTCTTTTCTAAACCAATGTTGATTATTAATTTGTTGGCTATTTCAATATCATATGATATCGTTTGAATTTTTTTTCTTAAATCCAAAAACATATATATATATATCAAATATAAGAATAAAAATAATTTCAAATTTTCTTTTGGTCCAACATCTTAAGAAATTTTTTCTTAGATAGTCTTTTTAATTTATTTTCACAAAAATAACCCTCAAAAAGGAAAATGACCAAAATAAGATTTTGTTAAAAAGTAAATATGTATTTATACCCTTGAGTTAACTAATGTAGACTTAGTATTTAGAGTTAAAGGATGAGTTTTGGGTTTAGGATTTCAAATTTAAAAAAATATAAAATAAATATTACAAATTTCAAAATAAAAAAGGACTATTTTGTTCATTTTATTTTTTGAATGTTATTTTGTAATATAAACTTAAAAAGCTATTTAAGAGAATTATCCAAATCCTAATCCCCGTAAAACCCAAAAATAAACTGTTATAATATAATAGTTGGATTTTTTTTAAATAATTATTCATATAATATAAACAATTAAAAAATACAATTTTAGGTTCTGATATATTTCAAATGATCTCTTAGATAGCATGCCACTACTTTTAATCACTTATTTGACTAGGTGTTTTGCCCGCACTTGCGGGCATAATTCTCTTATGAATATTTATTAGTTGATGTTTCATTAATTTAAAAATTAACATAATAAGTTATTATTTATGTTCTCAAAATGTAAAAATCAAACATCAAATAATTATCAATGACAAAACTCAAACATCAGAAATATTTAAAATAATATATTTCTATAACTATTTTTCTTGATTTATATTTAATTATAATATTTAAATCTTAATTTAAAATTTTATATTACATATTTTCAAGATAACAATATAATGCATAAGTTTTATATTTTCTGAAAATATAAGATGATAATTTTTTTAACTATATAATAATTATATAAGATTATAGAAATTATGACATATAATTAAAATTACCTAGGATCATGGAGATAAATCAACAAATTCACTTTTCAAATAATTGTTTTGATGATTTATATTTAATTCTAATATTTATATCTTAATTAAAAATTTTATATTAGAAAAACATATTTTCATGATAACAATATAATGTATAAGTTATTTATTTTCTGAAATTATAATATGATAAATTTTTTTAACTATATAATAATTAAGATTATAGAAATTATGACATATAATTAAAATTACCTAGGAGCATGGGGACAAATTAACAAATTCACTTTTCAAATAATTGTTTTGATGATTTATATTTAGTTACCATTTATATTTAAGTATTAATAATATAATTTTATATCTTAATTTTAAGTTTTATAATAGGAAAATATATTTTCAACATAAGAACATAATCCATAATATTTATCTTATTTTAGAAAAATATTAAATTATTAATATAAATTCGTTTTAGTTATATTTAAATATTAAATTATTAATATAAATTTGTTAGATAACAACATAATTCACAAGAATTATCTTATTTACTAAAAATATGATATATTTATATAAATTCATTTTATTTATAAATAAAATATATATAATTATTAAAAATATGATAAATAAAAAAATTAGGGAAATTGCCAGAAATAACATTTCCAAGATACCATTTTTCAACTTTACACTAACCAACTTTACCTTTAAAATTTTAATAGTCAAAATACTATTAGAATTTAGGGTTTAGGACTGATAGTTTATGGCTTAGTGTTGATTTTTTAGGGTTTAGGGTTTACTTTTTAGGGTTTAAGGTTTAGAATTGATATTTTAGGATTTATGGTTGATTTTTAGGGTTTAAGGTTTACTTTTTAGGGTCTAGAGTTTAGAACTGATGTTTTAGGGTTTAGGGTTAATATTTTATTTAATATTTATTTTATATATATATATAAAGAACAATGATATAAGAGTCTTTTATCCTTTAATAAAATGTGTATTTTTGAAAATGTTCATTTATTGATGGTAAACATGAAAAGTGGTACCACCAAAGTGGTATAATTGAAATTCTCCCAAAAAATTACCTGAAATTATGGAGAACATGACAACTAAGCAAATTTACTTCTTAAATAATAGTATAGAAATTTAAGTTTTATATATAAAAATATGTTTCAAGATATAACATAGTTCACAAGAATTATCTTATTTACTAAAAATATGATATATTCATATAAATTCGTTTTATTTATAAATAAAAATATTAAAAATATGATAATAAATAAAATTACCTAAATTTATGGAAAACATGACAACTAAGCAAATTTACTCAAATTCCCTTTTAAAATAATTGTTTTGATTATTTATATTTAATTACCATTTATATTTAATTATTAATAATATAATTTTTATATCTTAATTTTAAGTTTTCTAATAGGAAAATATATTTTCAACATAAGAACATAATCCATAATGATTATCTTATTTTAGAAAAATATTAAATTATTAATACAAATTCGTTTTAGTTATATTTAAATATTAAATTATTAATATAAATTTGTGTTAGATAAATATAATAGTGTTTATATCTTAATTTAAAATTTCAGTTTTATACATAAAAATATATTTCAAGATAACAACATAATTCACAAGAATTATCTTATTTACTAAAAATATGATATACTTATATAAATTTGTTTTATTTATAGATAAAATATATATAAATATTAAAAAAATGATAAATAAAAACAAATTACCTAAAATTATGGAGAACATGACAACTAAGCAAATTTACTTCTTAAATAATAGTATAGATTAGGATTTAGTTCCTACCTCTCCACATATTGATTGATTATGATCCTTTTGTAAGCTTGGCTACCTCTAGGCCTTATTGTAATTACTCTTTGAAATATAATCTACTGTTTAAAAAAAAAAGCCTGCCACTACTTATTTACAAATTTTTGAATAAATTATTTGCATATGTTTAATATAATTGTATTTGCAACTTCAAAAAAAAAAAAAGCTAATGAGCTAAAATTTAAAATTGACAAAAGTTGGTGCTTTAATGGTTAGCATTTTCCAAGAGTTGGGCAACTTTAAAGGAACTAATCATGTATGAAAAAAAAAAAAAAAGAGAACAAACCACTTTCTTAATTGATAGCTGTCCACAACTAATTGCCATGATTCAATATACTTTTTTGGATAAGGTAACACTAAATCTACAAGGCAGATTATGTTATTATATGAGTAGGGAAAAAGAAAAAACTAATCATATTCTAATTGAATAATGATTTGTCTTCCTTTCAAATACCTGTAGTTCTCTTGGGTTAATGACGTTCTACTAGCACTATGAAATTAATGAGATGGAATCTTGTGGTTAATTTGTGATAAGGTGGATACAATCATACAGATTGTTAGATCCATCCTCAATTCATCAAAAACATAAACCAATACTCATACGTCGAAGATCATTATCACTACATACACACACGTTTGACGTGTGTAACTAGAGAAGAAGCTTACTTTCGACAACGGCAAGAGCTTTGGACTCGAGGGGAGGTGGAGGTGGATCATGAACTTTCTCCTCCGCCACGTCTTTAGAAGCTTCCACTGGAGCAGGTGTTGTTTCCTTTTCCGGAGGCAAGACCGTCGGAGATTCTATGTCAACCTTGGTCGTCTTTTGCTCCTCCGCCATTGCCGCTCAGCCAAAGAAGAGAACAAATGGTTTATTCTTCTTCTGATTTCACAGACAAAAAATAGAAACAAAACAATTAATGTTGGATAAAAACGGAGAAAGAGGTATTTATATCCTCTGTTAGCTTAATACACCGGTAGAGCGTACTCCCCGCGTTTAATATGTGTAAGACAGTTGTTTTCCTTAACCGTTGATTCTGGTACCATGTGATCCTACGGCTGTAAATCTTGCTTACGCATTGGTGGCGCTCCATGTGATTAAACACCTCACTGCCGACAGGTAGGGTCTAACTGGTGACCATCATAGAAACATTAGGAATGAATAGGAAAAAAACGTAGAGGAATAAAATTATAGGAATGAAAAGGAAAATTATTCCTTACCAGTTTTGGTGAGGAATAAATTTGTTCTATATTCCACTAGAATACAAGGAATGGAAAGGAATACAAAGGAAAAATTAATCCTTATAAATGGTAAAACAAATTAGGAATGATAAGGAATGCATTTTTCCCTTTCATTCCTTGGTCACCAGTTAGACCCGTAAAGTAGTTCAACAATGCCACGTAACTCACTAAATCGTTGTTTTTTGCTAAATCGAATGAATCAAATTAGTAAGTCAAACGTGGAATCACTGTAGCATACGGCTGATTAAGAATTAAAGATTTTTACATAAGGATCTTTGATTTGAATCTCGGACTATATAATATTTCATAAATTATAAAAAATCCAAATTTTAAATTTTGGAAAAAGTAATTTATTAATATGGATTATGAAATAAAGATTTACAATGAATCTTCACATGGTATAAATAAATTTTTTATAGAAAAGTTTAGCTAATGCAGTTAGACGTAAATCTTCATATAGAAATATAGTATTGTTAATTTTTAAATCGTTTATGTAATTTTATTACGGATAAAATTTTATAATAGATCTTTAATATAGTGTAAGTAAATTTGATGAAGAAATGATTTTCATAGGATGATTCAGCTTATGTAGTTAGGTATAGATTTTTATAAGATAAATAATATTATCGATTGTCTAATTGTCAATTTAATATTTTTTATAATTATAATATTATGATAAATTAATGTTAAGAAGAAAATTAAAAAGTTGAAATAAAAACCATGATTACACTAAACCCATCTGTACTACTCTTTGATTTTTTTCTTTACCAATGGATTTGTTGAATAAGAATTGAACGCTTGGAGTGAACTCTCGGGTAGATTGATCCAAATATCTAGAGAAAGTGTATATAACAAGAGAATATTACGTTCCAGGTCACTTTTCTACTTATTAATATCATCTCAAGTCACTTGTTTATACTAGGACACTTTTTTACAACTAGATGCAAAAGGAGTCATTATCACTATAAGGCAGTTTACATGTTTTTATTACATTATAAGGCAGTTTCAACTACTAAGGTAGTTTTCTCTAACTTTATACCTTTCTTTTCTAACTAAACGTAACTAGAAAAAAAATATTACTTTACTTCTAAAAAAAGTCAAGCATTTTGAAACCCAAAAACCATCGAATATAATCTTCCATCTTCTGAATAAAAATAGTCTTCATCTTCCTTATGTTGTGACAGTAGTTCGTGATGGTTCTGATGTTCGAAATCCACCACTATCACCATCTTTCATTTGCACAATGAAACTCACAACTAAAATGGCCAAATCTGACAACAACTCACTATTTTTGGAGTCTGAAGTTGAAAAAAGATTATACATATGATAAAGCTACGATTTTGATGTGTAATCTATAATTAAAACATAAAAGAATAGAAGATTATGTGAAAGAAATCAATGGCGGCTGCAAAAACTATTGCAAAAAACCCTAAAAAATTTGAGGAAGACGGAGACTATAATTACTAAAATACCCTTTGTTATGTACACATAATTTATTATCCACGTGTACAATTGATTTATATATATAATTATATGTACATGATACTATGTACAATGATTCATATGTACATCTGTCAATTGATTTATGTACATGATACTATGTACATAATACTATCTACACACAATTGATTTATGTATATAGTTATATGTACATGATACTATGTACACACAATGTATTACATGTACACATATGTTTTTGACATCAAATTTGGCTAATATGTACAATGTAGATATTATATTTTATTACATGTACACATATTTTAACATCGACAAGGGCTAACATGTACAATGTACATATTATACGTGTACATATTCACATGTGTACAAAGATAATATGTGTATATTTTGAAATGCAAATGATTAACATGTATATGTGATAAATTTGTTATATGCATTTACAAGTATCATTTTCCATATGTACAAATGATAAATTTGTTACATACATACGCTTTCGAAGATCATTAATATGTACACATATATTTCATTTAAAATATGCTATAAAAATAAATAAAAGAGTAAGATTTCACAATGTTTCGAAATGTCCATGTGTACGTTATTTACGAAAATTGTTTGTAGTTAGAAATGTAGAGACAAATCTGAGTATCCATATGAAGACCTTATTTCATGTACACATTTTGCATTGTTCACATGGGTACTATAAATTATCTACTTTTTAGTGGGCATTATGATGCACATTATAAATGTGCTTGTCGATACCTTAGTTCTTGAGTGTACAGAAAGTACAATAATAAATTCATTGTGTACATGTTTCAGTAAACCCTATAAATATGGGCAATACGAAGACATATTTACTAAGATACACTAATAACTCAGATACCAGTGATTTATTTTGTTGGTTGTGTAATGATCTAATTACAAACCTCATTCTTTGATTTTGTTTGTTCAAGGTTTGATGTTCCTAGAAAACTTTGTTAGGGTGTACACAAACAAGCGTGTACATGTGTACAACACAAACAAGTTTCGTGTACAAACCTTAATTTTTTTAACTTTTTTTTTAATTATGAAAAATTACAAAAGTAACCTCGTCTTCTTCCTTGGCCACTATCGACCATAAACTCTAATTTTTGTCTTTCTTACCTATTTTTATGATTCTTTACATTCTCTATTTGCTTAAATGTATTTTACCCAGATGTGTTAGATTTCAATTCTAGTTCATGATTTTATATTTAAATATTTGAACAAAAGTAAATTTTTTCCCGTTTTAGATCTGTTGAGCGTTTGTTCCAATTCATTTTATGACTCCAGATATTTTTAACAAAAGTTAAATATAAGATCTATTTGAACAAAAAGAAATTGAAGAACCAGATTTGATTTTTAAAAAAAAAAATTGAGAAGAAAACGAACGAGAAAGTTAAATAAGATTCATTTTGTTAATGTTTTTGAAAAGTAAAACTTGTGCAAAAGAAAGAAAAAGATAAAGAGAGAAGATTGTAGGTCCTACTCATTAGGATAAAATTTGTTGTAGTTAGGAAAAACTACCTCAGTTGTGAAAACTGCCCTAAAGTGATATAAGAAACTTAAAACTGCCTTTTAATGTAATATTTTCATGCAAAAGTCCAACCTTTCTAGTTTGTGTTCAATTACACGTAGCCCAACTAAACAAATAAAATGGTAGGACTGATTTGTAGCCATAGATTCAGATGAGTATTGGACGGCTGAGATTTAATGATCTACATCTGGACAAAATTTTAATATTAAATCAATATCATATCTATCTCTTTTCTCTTCTTTTTTTATCTTCTTCAATGTTTATCTTTTTTACCTCTTCTTCCTTTTCTCTCTCTTCTTCTTTCTTCTCTGTTTCAATGTCTTATTTACTTCTTTTTTCAATAATCATTATTTCACTATTGAAGCCCAGCGTTAATATCAGTAGTACGATGGTAAAGAAGGTCGCAACGACGGAGGCGGTGGTATGGACAGAGGAATTAGTTGGAGATATTTTAGGCAAATTATGAATTTCTGGAGATGATTTTGTTACGGTGGAGGAAAATGTCAAGAATCCCCGTTCAGGTTAAAATTCGGTGATTCTAGCTAGATCTCACTTTTTTATTGTTTCTTTCCCATTGATGTTTATTTGTATCTTGAATTAACTATGATCCGCTTATGTTTTGTCTGTGTTTTGTTTCTCTGTATTGAGTCATAATACTTTAGATTCGTAAGGAAATAGATTAGTGAGTTAAAGTTGTGAACTTTGACTTGATTCTTGTAGATATTGCCTTTAGGAAGTTGAAGGTGTATATGTTTACATATCTACTTAAAAAATGACTTTGAAGGTGTACATATAGATATACATACGGATCTCGTAAAAACGGTGTACACCTAGATATTCTCGTGTACATGTGTATTAGTGGTTACATATTCATTTGGATTTATTATGTACATGTGTACACCTCTATTTATGTACATGTGTACACCTATATTTTGTGTACATGTGTACACGTGTATTTTGGGTACATGTTTATTCAGTCGTGACTGAGACGTGTACATGTGTATTGGTGGTTACATGTTCATTTGGATATGTTGTGTATATATTTACATATCTATTTTGTGTACATGTGTACACGTCTATTTTGTGTTCATGTATACACATGTGGTTATGTGCTCATTTCTTATATATATATATATATATATATATGTTTTAGTGATTTTGTTTCTACAACAATATGTCTCATCATATTTTTTCTTTATTTTTTACTAACAATTAATATTAATCAATAAAAGGACAAGTGTGTGTTGATTTTTTATTTTTTTTTAAAATAAATTATTAAAACTGGCACAGAAACCAAAACAAATGAAAAAAGTTAGGAAGTAATGGTTTAGTTAGAAAAAAGTGACTCAGTAGCATAAAGTGATCTAGAATGATATTAGAAACTTAAAAGTGACCCATAATGTCAATCTCTCATATAACAAATAGTTTTGGCTTATCAAAAGAAATATCTTGTGGACTTAAAGGTGACGTGGAGCTTCACCAAGTAGACACGCTGGAGACATACAAAGGGATATGTCTTTGCTGGACCCCATCGCTCGCGTGTAGTAGAACGTTCTGGTTAAGTAGCGAGTGGGACATCTAAACTATTA